TAACTTTTGTATTTCGTCGCATATGAAATCAGTTTTTATAAAGCTGTTAAATAAATAAACATTGAGCTATTTTTGCCATTTTTACGATTCTCATGAGATCAAAAAAATGTATCGCTTCCATAGACCGACCACTATGGAATTTCCTGATTTCTGAGATTCTAATCTTCAAAACCTATAACGTGTAATAACATTTGGAGTTTTCACACTCCAACTTTCACATTACAAAAGATCTAAAATGTTTAAAACTCCTGTTCGATTGAAGTACGGTTTTCAAAATTATACAACTTCAGCTACAAATTTCACCTAATTTCGTCTTCTTGGAAGCAGTTCCAATGAAGTGAGATCGTTTGTAATATGAAAATTCATCGTTTTTTTTAGGCATATTTTAAATGCCTTATATTTGTTGCCAAAACTCAAAATCGAAGTTTTATATTGTGTTTTAAATTACGAAAATTAGCTGGTTTTAACTCATTACTGTTATCTGTACAAAGAATAAAAGTCTTACTTCTGAAATATTGGTATATTATTTATTGTAGCCGGCAGTAAAATTGGTCGCTGCGCGTCGCGACGCTCGTCGAAGGCACAAAAAGGGACGTCTCTATAAACTCGATGTTTTTAGTACGCTGTCTCGTGATGAAGTGTCTATTTCTTCGCATAAAATAGTCCGAAAACCTCTGGCCATACTTCTAGGTGGTCCGTAGGGTAAGAGAGTCAAGTGCACACCAATAAATCACTTTATTGTATTGCGATTTTGAATGGCAATAATTTTAACTAAAGTCACAGAAATATGAAACTTTACAACAGTTTCTGTGTTTGCGACGTATTTCCAAAATAACAATGTCGAATCTTTGAACTTAAAAACAGACATGTGCTTAAGCCAGTTTAACAATGAGATTTTACGAACAGAAAATAATATCTTCTAAGCAAAGTAGTTAGAATATACCATTAAATTAGATATATTATAGTACAGTAAAATACGAAAATAAAAACTAAATACTTTCCCAAACATTCTCCCGCTCCAAAAACCAATGTTTTTAAGAACAGCTGAAAGTATAAGTGTAATGAATAGACATGAAAAGATGGTTATACTAATAAAGAACTAAGTAAGAATAAAATATGACGACAAATAAGCAGCGGTCATATTTTTACCACAGGATATTGTTGGAGGCCATTCAGAAGCTTCAGAGCTGTGCTCAGATTAACAACGCGTACAATACCATCAGTTAAAAAGAACAGCATCAAATCAGTAGAATTTTTCGACCTACTAAAATAGGAAGGCTTTGTCAAACAGAATACCTTTGGCCTCTTTCCCTATAAGAATTCTGTGAGGTGCGAAAAAAACAAGAAGAAAAACAGTGTCAACATCTCAGTGTGGTGTCGCATTTCAGAAGAGGGTATTCGACGACAGCCGGGGAGTGATATTTCGATGAGCTCCACAGTAGGAAAATGCCAGTTTGGTAAAAATTGTAACAATTGTACCGGTGATAAAACACGACTAGCACAATCAGAGGAGTTTTAATTAGAAGGCACATAATGACGTGTAGAGCGTGGTATTAGTTGCATGTGTTGAATACGATTGGCAATTTTTGGGCAGAAAAATTAGCTCAAGGGAGTGAATCAAACCAAACATTCATTTTATCAAAGTTCATTTATTCGAGCATTCAACCTTATATCAATTTATTTTAATGTGTTTTTTTTTTGGATCAAATAAGCAACTTTTAACAAATCAGACTAGGTTCCACATCATCCCCACATCGTAGATGAATGTTCTCCACCAGGGGTTATCATTCAGCAATATATAAAAAAATCTAAAAATCGATTTTGCTGTATGTGCTTATAAAAAATTAGTAAATTCCTAACATGGGCCATGACTCTATTTCATTTTGATGTCGAAATTTAAAAGCGACTACGCCATGACAGTAGCAATCTCTAGCGATTCTCATTCATTTCGATTTTAGTTAAAAGTGTGGATATTTATTTTATCATTTTGACACTGCTCAGAATTTGGGTTGGTCGTCTTGTTTATTGGCTGCACGCTACACAGTGCTTGTTAAATGTTTGTTTTGTTTACGTTACGCCTTTTGTTTCTTGTTTGAGTTGTTAACTTTTTAGTGGCCATTCTCAATTATTATATTTTGAATTTAAAGAAAATGGATGGAGAGGCTGTCAGTGATGGTGTCACTAAATTGTCTGTGGACCAAAAAGAAATTATGGTGGCTTTTGACTTAGTGGTTATATTCTAATATATTTTTAAATTTACTGCAGCTTAGTAATACGAACCCTAAACATTTTGGGTCTCCTAGAGGCATAAACACCCTCCTCCAAATATGGTTCTAATATCCTTATCAAATAATTTGCAGCTTGTTTATTAAGGTGGAATTGCTGCCTAAATTGAGCATCACGTGAAAAAGGATTTTGAGTATCCTGTAACATTCTTCTTAAGGCCGTATGACACTATGCATTTTCTTGTATCATTTCTTATATCGTTTCTGATATAACAAAAAAATGATAGTGTCATACAAACGTATAGTTCTTATATCAGAATCGATAGAAGAATTTGTGTCCGCTGCAGTTTCTTGTACAAGAAATGCGCAAATTTGTGCGCAAAAACGTAAAACTTATGTCATAATGGCGGCTGGAAGAGAACTTTGATATACAATTAGACCAAGCGGACATCAGAGAAAAGTGTCCACCAGGCACCAACAATAACAAAGATTAGAATAGCAGTAGCCAAATTGAAAAACCATAAATCACAGGAATTGGATCAAATAGCATCGGAACTACTGAAAGTAGGAGGAGATGTATTACTAAAAACAATACATAACCGCTCTAAAAATTCGTGATGAGTTTAAAGATTATTTTATATCTCCAAATAAGAGAGTAGAATTTCAAGAGCATGCCATTCAAACACATAATTTGTAAAAAGAACAAATAAATTATTACAACCAAATTATTTATTATTTCTATCTTCCACTACAGCCTGTTGAATATCTTTAAAAATTGTGGTTTCCAATTTAGTTTTAATATTGGGACATTTTATTTCTTTCATTTTTGCACCACAGTATTTTAAAAAATGATCAGTAGCATCTGGCTTGGGGTCCTCAGGTACTGCAGTTCTATCTTTATAGGTGTCAAAATTTCGACCAATCATGTGCCGAATCACATACAATTTCTGGTAAAAGAACTTGCATTGTGTCATACAGAGCATACATGTACATACAAGAAACGATACAAGAAAACATAAATAACTTTCTATATCAAAAACGATATAAGAAATGATATAAGAAAATGCATAGTGTCATACTGCCATTATCATCTGTTGTGAGCGTCGGATATCTATCCTCTCTAATTCCTCCAAAACCAGCAAATGTTCATAAAACGCAGCCATATTAATACTTTTTGCCTCAATTTTCCTTGCAAGAATCAAACAAAACAACACCGCCTAAACTGAACCTAATCTCACTTTTCCCAGTCCAGCCAGTCATGGCAGATTAATTTCGACTCGAAATGAAATGTCAACCACTTTCTTGAAGTTGAAATTAATTTCGATAAATCGAAAATTAGTGACGTCCTTTGGTTAGTTCAGCTGAAATCCACTAGGCTCAAAAGTCGCATTTCAACATCGCCATATTAATTTCGACATGTTTTGAGTCGAAATCTCAATTAGAATCAGGGCCATGATGTGTAATCACCAAAGTAAAATGTACCGAATGATCCAATTTATTTGGAACTACTTTTAATAGCTCATATCACTTAGCATGATCCTGTTCAAACTGACCAATATGGCTAAAAGTAAATAGCAATGGTAGCAGCTATTCTTAACTTTCACTAACTTTTCTTAACTTTACAATAGGAGCAAATAGTTAGCCCTGCACAAATCTAAATTACTCAATTTTTTTCTTCTTAAAGACATTAATTATTCCTTCATTTATTTATTCATTTTAGGATTTCTTTGGATGTAGGTTGAAAACAACCTCTTCTATTTCAACTGCTGACTTGCCATGGAATTCCGTAAGATATAAAAACTATGAGTTTAAAGCTTTGATCACTTCTTACACAAATTAGTTACTCCTCTATAGGTATTTCAACTTCACAATAAGTTGTTCATAAATTTCTGGGTGAACAATCTAGTACATATAAATGGCTATCAAGCATACAGTAATTAGCTTCTATCAGTGTAAATAATAATCAAGATATACAAGAATCCCTTTCTATAAAAAGATTTAAAAGTTCTAGCAGAATAAATCAATAGAAATAAGAAAAGAATGTGAGGGAAACAGAATATTATGAAAAAATCAAATAGTGGTTAAATAATATTACAAGTTATCCTAAAAGAAAGTTGTATCACACAGTACAAAACAGAAAGGATCTAAAAAGTTGTGGAATTATTGATAAGCAATATTATGAATAACTTGTGTAATAAGAAATGCAAATGTGTTTATTATTTTTAAATTATATAGGGAAAAAATACATTGTTTAACATGTTTTAGATGTCAAGATTTTCCCTTTATAAATATCTTGTTCAAGATCGTCCAGTAAGTAAACTAATAATGAATCACTTTAATACCTCTTTCACTTTTAAAGCAACAGCTCAAGTTCTTTGTTTATTACATTCCAAATTAGGTATAAACCAGCAATCGATAACTAGACAAATATTTACATATAAGTACATAGTATTTGCGTCCAATAAACCGATGTAAATTGAAGGTATATTTTTTATTTAATTGGATCAGCCTTATATTCCAGTATTCCATTTTTATCGAATTATTTTGAATAATCTAACCTCAAATACCTTTTCATCATAAGTGCGTATTGGTATCTAAAACTAGTGGTCATTTGACCCATTATCTTCCAAAGTATAGTACAAGTAAAGGGCATATTTTTATGAAGAAACTATAGGGAATTTAACAAACCTGGTAGTTAAAAAATAAAGAATATTCATAATCGAAATTCAATTATTGACAATGATTAAATTTATATAAAAACGATAAGTTACTTACATGACCAGTCTAGATAATATTGATGAAATCATTATGGTTCATAAATTCACCTCACTTGTACTTTATTCATTCACGTTTAAGCATCAAAATAAATAAAAATTCAACGACAGATCTAACAATGTCATCGCGCCAGCAGTCATAGACATCTTGGATAAACGCAACGTTGCCAAGTAACTTCCCAATTTCATGTGAAACAAAGCAAAAAGAACTAATCGTCGATTAAGATGAAATTTTGAATGTGATAAAATCAAAGCAAAGTCAATCAATTAATATTCAATTCGGATTTCAATTGGCTTGAGTATGAGAGAAGTACCTGTTCTGTAGATATACAAATCCTGATACAGAGTTGCAAAGATATCTGAGAAAGTTACATCTGTGCATTGATTTTGAAAAGACGTTTGACAAGGTCGAACATAATAAAATGCTAGAAAATTTAAAAACACTGGATGATGAAGACTGACGAATAATTATTACAAAATCTGTACTGGTATTAAGAAGGAAGAAAAAGAGGTGTGAGGCAAGACTGAATACTCTCACATCTACTCTCCAACTTGTATTGAGAGGAAATATTTAAAAAAGCCTTAATAGAGAATTCAAAAGGAATTGCAACGACTGGCGTAATCGTGAATAATATTAAATATGCTTAGGACTTTTTAAGTCTAATAAACAAAATATATGCTAGATCTGTGATATGTTAGTATAGATTATATAGAACTCAACATTAAGATAACCAAACATATGATAGCACACAAAATTATAGACAGGATGGCGGTATTAGAGTCGAGATGCAGTACTGGACACAGTAAAGAAACACGTGCATCAATGAGAGCTGAGGTCCAAACGTAGAAATTAAAAGAAAAATGGACTAGAAATTATTTGAAACTCATGCAAAATCAGGATATTACAAATGAAATTCGGAACTCACAGTAAATCCCTAAAGTAATGTCTTCTCAAACTTTTTCAGCAAAGGAGCAGTTTTCTTTTAGAAGAAAGAGACCGCAACATGAAAACAGAACGAAACTGATCCCTATCGTAAAAGTATACATTTGTGCGGCAAACAAGGATACCCATTTAAGAGTGTTTTGTGTAAAATTTAGAGGTCGCTGATTAAATGAATTTAGAAATAATAATGGAGAAAAACTACAATATTTTGACTGTAAATAAAAGTAGCGAAAATAGCTAATATTTAATTGTGAATAAATTAGAGAATTAACTAGCTTTAACTCATTACTGTTAACTGTACAAAGAACATAGACTTGCCCTTTAGTATATTCGTATATTTAATCGTAGCCAGTGGATTAGCTTTGGTACCACGTCACGACGTTAAGGGATGCCCGGCGCTGACGCTCAATAGGACGAGAACCGATACACTCGATGTTTTAAGTACACTGTCTCGTGATGAAGTGTATGTCTTGAGATGGTTAGAAACCCTCTCGCCACGCTTCGAGGTGGTCCGTAGGGCGAGGGTATACCAACCTTAATTATTACACTAATATGATACTTTACATCAGTTTCTGTGTTTGCGATACAAAAATAAGAGACGATAAAGTCAAATTCTCTGAACAGACTAAATGTGTTTAAGCCAGTTTAACAATAAAATTTTGTTGAATAACAGGAAACAATATATTTTAAAGCAAAGTCGTTAAAATTTACCATTAAATTTATTACATACTTTCCCAAACAAAGAGGTAAAACTCATTCGGTGCGAATCCACATTAACACCAGAATCTGGAGATAAAGAACTTTTTGGCCATTTGGTCACTTCTTAGAAGAATGCCCTTTATACTTAAGTTAAGGATATGTTCTTAGAGTATATTCCAACTGACAACGTAGATGCATCCAGTCCTGCAATTCTCATAGCTACAACTCTAAAAAAAACCTGAATTTAAATAGATATTCTCATGTGGTTGGTCAAGTTTACGATGGGGCTGCAGCTGAGAGTAGTTATTTGCAAGTGTCCAAGCGTATATTCATCAAGAATGTCTTCTCTCTTTATGTGTGCAGATATCATGCAGTCTGTTGGTTTCTACTTTAGACATTCGGCTAAACGCACTGCCGTTCTGATAGAAAAATGCAGGATCTAAAAAAGCCTACTTTTTCACAAGCCTACAGTGGGTTCACAAGCATAAAGGCGTTAGAAGTTTAAAGGTAATTTATTCAGCTACTGTGCATGCCCTCGAAGAACTCCAATCTAGTCGCAATAAAAAAACATCGCAAGACACCGTCTAAATGTTTAACACACTTGAATATTCGACTTCTGTTATGTACCCAATGATTCTTCAAAAAGTCATGATTGTTACTATCATACCAACTGCATGCAATTAACACAGACCTCATACCAGCCATATTGACAATATTATTAATGTTTTGCAACTTTTGAGATATAAAGTTGACGAAGAGTAGTTCAATCTCTATAAAGAAGTGAAAGGTGTTTCTCGAAGAAAACGATGGTATACTTCTTATGCCACATATTGTCCGAATGTATGTATGTATGTATTTGGCAGTGCTGTCTAAAAAAGTACATCTATCGTCAAAGCAGATAGCAAAGCCTCGCTCCTCACCTCCCTTACTTCAAAATCACCTTTGGAATGTTTAGACAAGTGCGACCAAAAACTATATCCAAATATTTACACATTGTTGCAAATATTGACCATTATACCTGTTTCTAGCACTATATCAGAAAGGACTTTTTCGAGCATAAGAATGATCAACGAGTGAAAGCAGACTGAACGACTTGGCTCTCATGAACATTCACTATGTGAAAGAAATTGATGCTAATGAAGTAGTGGATATCTTTAAAAAGAAAAACAGACCATTAATTCTATAATTCATACCTACAAATATATATAACAGAACGTTATTTTTTTTATTTAGCCTATGCCGTCCCACTGCCCGAAAAAGAACTTCCTCAGTTCCTTCCAGGAGCTTTTTTTCTGACCAATTTTTTACACCTTTTATATTTTTCGTATGAATATAAGGGTCATTTTATGTACTTTTACCTCGTTTTATTTTTTTAACGCCCACTCCGCCGAAACTAAAAATCTGGCTATGCCCGTGACTGGGACACTATCATAAGGTCCTCACGATCTCAAAATTGATTTCTCATACACTTTAAAAATTCAAACTAAAAAAAAGATTGACAACGAATAGAAGAAGATAGTAAAATGTGTTTCAATAAAAGAAGTGTTTAAGAGACCTATAAAAAGGAGATTGTAACAATAAAGTTACATATGAGCATGTAAAATTGCGTAAAAGAAGAGGCATTAGAAGCTTTGTGAGAAATAGAAAAGAAAATTAACCAGTACAAAATAATAATAAATGGAAAAAACAAAAAATGCATTAAAGAAAGAAAAATCCTCTACAAATATGAGTACCCACGCAGCAAAACAGAAAAATAAAAAGAATAGCAAGGAACTTGTGCAGACTTTGAACAATATTTAGAAGAAGCATCTTGGATCTTTCCCTGCATAATCAGTTGGAGCAAGGTGTATTTCTCTCCACGTGTAATATGTCCAAGATATTACAATTTTCTTGTTTTAATTGTATTTAAAATTTCTATTTCTTGATTCATCCTTCTCAGAACCTCTTTGTTTATGACCTGTTCTGTTTACGATGTTTTAAGAATTCTTCTATACACCCACAGCTCGAATGATTCCAGTTTTTCATTGATGTCGCATTCAAAGTCCAAGATTCCATTCCATAAAATAAAGTCGAAAAAATATAGCACCTCGCCAACCTAACTCTTAGTTCCAATTTTAAATCCCTTGTACATAGCACTCTTTTCATTTTGCTAAAATTTGCTCTAGCCTTTTTTGTTCTGCTTTTGATCTCCTAAATTTAATCATTTGTGGAGTTTTCATTGTTCCCAGATATGCATATTTGTCCATGTGTTCGACATTGGTTCCGTTTATTAGAAGATTCTCATTATTTCTTTGAGTTTTCGATATTCTTATACATTTCGTCTTCTTGATATTCATTGTTAGACCATACTCTTTTCCATACTCCGCTATTCACCAGTCTCTGAAGATCTTCAATGTTTTCGGTTAAGATTATAGTGTCGTCCGCATGTCTAATGTTGTTAATGGGAACTCCATTTACCTTTATTCCAGCTGTTTCACCCTCAAGAGCGTTTTTCAGGATCTGTTCGGAGTAGGCATTAAAAAGAATTGGCGACAATACGCATCCCTGTCTCACTCCATATCTAATTTCAATTTCTTCTGACAGCTGGTCATTAACACGTACTTTTGCTCGCTGTTTATAGTATAAATTTAATATGATCCTGAGGTCGTTGTAGTCGATCTTCTTTGATTTCAGAACATTTATTAATTGTTTATGTCGTACTTTATCGAATGCTTTATTATAGTCAATAAAACATGCGTATATATTTTAATTGACGTCCAGGTATTTTTATATCAGTATACTAAGTGAAAAAAAGCTTCACGCGTTCCTAGGCCTTTGCGAAAACCAAATTGTGGATCATTAACTTCTATGTCCAGTTTGTGATATATTCGGTTATGGATGACTTTTAGTAGTAACTTTAGCACATGAGACATCAAGTTACCTACAGAAAAATTGCTCGGAATTTATAGAAATAGACTCAGAAGAGCAGCATACACAAAACCAAAATGATGAAGAGATTAAACTAGTACTAAACGACTACTAGTACCAGTACAGTCTCTATATTACGTTTTTAGACTTGAGGAAGGCACATGAGGCAGTTTCCAGAAACCAACTCTGGAAGACCATGAAAGGAATCGAAATATCTCAGACAATAAAAACGAAATAGAAACTATAAAACATTTCTAAACCAATGTGGCGTAAATTAAATCCGACAATAAATATTCAAAGGAATTCAAGGCCACTACAGGCTTATTACAAGGATGCTCTACATCTGCAACTCTATTTAAATTCTTTCTGTAACAAATTCTAAAACAATGTAAAAGAAAATGTAAAGGTATGGGAATCCGGTTGGAGATAACTTCTTATACACACACAATTTCGCAGGTAACTGTGATGGTCCAAGACGAAGATCTGGCATATAAGCTCCGAAAACCGGAACGAAAGTATACAAGAAACGAACTATATATAAACCTAGACATGACAGCAAAGGATTAGCCGAATACGAGTAAAAA